GGTCTCGGACTGGGTAGGGTTGGAGAGGCCTACCGTCCACCGAGGTCACTGGTATAACTCTCTCCAGGGGTTGTAGGGGGATCCGTAGGCGTTTTGCCAGATCTAGGTCCATGAAATTGTCCGCGGCCCCCGAGTCCACCAATGCGTTTACGTGGAGTGAGGCCTCACCATGGAGGAGGGTGACAGGAATAAGGAGACGGTTAGTAGCGACAGGGGTAGAAGAAGACCCAGACTGAGCAACCCCAATACTCAGTGGGGCCCCCCGTTTCCCGATCGTAGCGGGCAGTCCAGGCGTCGGTGGTCGGGAGAGCCACAGTAGGCACAGAGGCCCTCGCGCCACCGTCGTTGTCTCTCCTCGGGGGGAAGGTGGCCGAGCTTCATGGGCTCCTCCGCCAGCATGGGTACAGGAGCTGGCGTGGGTGAACGAGGGCGAGGCACCGGCGTCCTGGGTGGACGTGTGGATAACTTGGGTCGAACCAGAACCCGCTGGTCGATGCGCAGCGCCAGATCAACCACCTCATCCAGGGTCTGAGGCAGCTCCCTTCCCGCCAACTCATCACGGATGTAGGGTGCCAGCCCCTCCAGGAAGGCGGCCCGCAGAGCGGAGTCATTCCACTGCAGCTTGGCGGAGATGGTGCGAAACTCCGACGCATAAGCGCACACCGAGCGCTCTCGCTGGCGGAGTTTGAGAAGGCGTGTCTCTGCTCCCACTTCGCTGCTGGGGGGAACAAAGGTCTTCCGGAGAGCGGACACAAACGCAGCATAGTCGTTGCAGGCAGGGGATTTGGAATTGTAAAGCGCAGCAGCCCACTCCGCGGCGCGTCCGGAGAGCAGGGAGGTGAGATGCGCCACTCGGGAGCGCGCAGATGGGTAGCGTCCAGGTTGGCACTCGAACTGCATGTCCAGCGTGGCGAGCAGACCATCGGGGCTCCTCGTCTCTCCGTTCCACCTCTCCGGCAGGCTGAAGTGGGGCTCCTCCCTAGGAGCAGAGCGGGTTGGCTGCTGGAGCGCAGCGATCTGTTGCTGCTGATCGTTTGCCTGTTGTTGGAGAGCCGTGAGAGCCGTGGATAGACGCAGGGTGTGGTCGGACAAGGAGTTCACCTTGGTGTTGAGCTGATCTACCATGGAGCGCAGCTGCACGTTCTCGTGGCGGAGACGATCGATCTCCGTCGAATCTATTAGGATCTCAGTCATCCTGTCAGGCTGATCAGACTGGATGAAGGAGACGAACAAGGTGAGACGTTTAATAGTTTTATTAGTTCTCTGGTCGTATCTCCGTGAGGAAGAAACGATGACTGAGATGAGAAGCCGGTCACGGCGTCTTCCATATATAGCCTTGCTTGGCTGTGACGTGGAGGGAATCCCCGCGAGGAGCACGCCGGGAGCTCCCCACGAGGAGCATGTCGGGAGTTGTGGTCCGAAGGTCAGCCGGGAGATACCTGAGTCCTGACAAGCTGAGCTTAGATTTTAACATGTACTGTTTAACCTGTGCATTAGGGCTGCAACAACGAATCGATAAATTCGATGAAAATCGATTACTAAAAGCGTTGGCAACGAATTGCGTCATCGATTCGTTGTGTTGCGCAACTCTTCCAAAAGCCCCCTCCCCTCCCGCCCGCCGTTGCGCGCAGACCGGTGGAGAGCCGGCAGGTGTTTGTAAGTGGAACATGGCAGAAGCAGCGAGACTCCAAAAAAGTAAAAACTTCTAAAGTTTGCGAGCATTTTCAGTTAAATCAGGCGAAGACATTCAACGTTTGTAGGTCAGACAGCATGGCGCGGGGATACTACGGTGATGATGCATCGTCTTAAACGCAAGCATGTCAGAATCATCAGCGAGGAAGGAGAGAGCTCGGTGTCCGGGTAAGTTAAAAACTTTTCAAAAGTGATTCACCCAAGCCCCGGATTATTACACAGGCTAGACATGCCCTAAGCTCGTATAAAAAAGTCCATAAAATTGTAAGCGCGACGCTATTAGATAGGCGGGGGGGGGGGACTCGCGCCGCTGCGAACCGGTTCCGCCGTCACATTCCCGCAGAAACTGGTTGATCACACCGGGGCCAGACTAACATGTGGTTTTACAACCACAATGTCCTCAGAAGCGAAAATGCTTTTAAAAGGGAGGGAGGAGTCCTAACTGTTGCTGCAGGCGTGTTGTGTGAGAGTGCAGTTATATACTGGTTAATATATTTTTGGGTTCAGTTGCTTTCATGTGGCCTAATGTGAGTCTATTTGGGATCATTGGAATGATCAGCAGCATTTCTTGATGTGACTTTATGGCAGTTGCCCAGGGCATCATCACAAGGAGGATGGCATTCATTTACTTTTGTTTTAGTTGGTATTTTTCAGTCATTTTTGGAAATACGGTAGTGATTAATTTTGATTAATTCACAGCCTATGTTTAATTACATTTAAAAATTAGTTGTTTGACATCCCCAGTTATAATAAATGTCTACGGATGAGATCAAACAAAACAGATGAGAATTGCCCTTAAAGAGCAAGTCACCCCCAAATAAACTTTTTTTTGCTGATAAACTAAATAAACGAGTGTCTAATCATGCTGCAGACACGTGTCGTCAATAATTTGGCACTTCAGTGCATCTTAGTTAAAATTTAAATATTCTGCCTAAAACTGGCAGTGTTGTGCCGTTGTCAGGTAAAAACTCTGCACTGTATTTGAATTTAAATCTGCCACCGCTATTGGCTAAGAAGTATGATATGATGTAAACTGGTACATTATGATGTCACAATGCTGTCGTGAGCCTGAGTGTGTGTGTATTTGTTAGCGGCTCCGCCCTCTCGGTCTGCCAGGCAACAGCATGTGTTGCATTTTTCAAACATAAAGCAGGAGTGGAGTTAGACTCTGGTAGGGGTTGACTTGCTCTTTAAGCTGTTTAACTTGGACCAAGCATTTTAGGTCACAGATAGGTGTAGCTTAGGGTCTCTGTCTATACACCTTATAAGACAATTTAGGTGATGGCATGTTGTTTTTCTGCTATTGAACTGTTTTCTAATAATGTTGTGTTTAATAAAGTGAAGGAAGGAGAAAAATAACGTTTCCCTAGCAGTTTTTAAAAATGTCCCTATGTAATCCGATTAATCGATTAATCGTGTCGAGACCCCATCCGATTAATCGATTATCCAAATAATCGTTTGTTGCAGCCCTACTGTGCATTTAACATAACGCTGCATTTTTGAAAATGGGTTATAACAAGATGGTGGAGCTGGGTTCTGACTATCGGTATGGACTTATAGCGGCAGCTCAATGCATCTCTGATCGCAGCGGTGCCTGTCTGCTGCGCAGCTGCCAGCTTGTGTAGCTCTCGGGAGACCTCTGTGTTCCACCCGGTTTTACCCAGCGGTCAGCCTGGCGTATCTCTGACTCAGAAGCTCCGGGTGTTGTGCACAGTTAACTCCAGTTGTAGCTAGGGAGCTATCTCCTTTAGCTTAGCTCCCACCTCCGCATTAGCTTTGGGTTATCTTGTAGCTACATCGCTTCAGTTCGACAGGTGTCGTCATTTGATCCCAGCCTTACAGCCCCACCCTCAGCTCCACCTCTTTTCCCTTCTTTTATGGAATTGTCTGGGCTTGACGGAACCCATGACATGGCCAAAATGGTGGTGGTGGCCACCTCCCACTTTGGCTTAAAAACTTATAATTGGAGCCTATGGAAACACATTGTCCAGTATATATGTTGATGGTCTCGCAAAAGCATAAACTAGGCTTTAGACTTTAATAAATCAGAAAGTGTCGGCAATAAAAGAAACAATATCCAACATCATTTTTAAAAATTGCCTATAGGTAATCAAAGTATATAATTCAAAAGGAATTTATAAAACAATTAAGAGCTAAAATAGGAAATAAATATAGGCTGCATGGTGCCACAGTTGGCAGCACTGTTGCCCTCTGTCTATAAAGTCATAAAACATTTTCTCCTTTGCTGCGTTTTTCCCCCCACAGTGTTTGCTGCATTTTAACGTTGGACTTCATCATCAGATGCACCCAAAACTGTAGAAATCAGTTCTGTTTCTAATCAAAACAAAGATCCAGTCAATAAGTGCTGCTCCATGGCTTAAGCTGTTGTTGCAAACATCTTGCAAAAGTAATCACAACCAATACAAAGCTAGGACTACAATTATGAAAATAAACTATTTAGGCAATTTTCTTCATCACTACTTTAGCATTTGCTTCAGCGATTTTTAGAATGAAGCTATTATACAATGTATCTCACTAATTGGAAAGGTAGTTGACAGGGAGCCTTTTCTCCTGCAGAGCTTGGCATCAGAAGGTGACAGGCAGAGAGAGAATATGTATAAAAGGCAGAGATCACAGGACAATGAGGCCCATTGATACAGTGGAGACAGGACCGGGTGGCTCCAGTATGCTGAGAGCAGCTGATGGTGCACAGAGGCACCACCATGATTAGTCTACATCACATTGGCAGTCTGAAAAACCACAGTTTTAAAGCTGGAACTGCTACTCTTCATTTGTCATAATCAATACCTCTGTTTCAAACAAAAAACACATTTTATGTTTTTGGCAAACAGCCAGAAATAAAACATCATCAGGCTTCAGAATCCCATCATTCTTTTTCTCTTTTTGACATTTCTGTTAAAAAAAATAAAATAAAAAGATCTATGACGATTTAGAGATGAACATGATTTTTCTTCGCTCTGCACTTTTTACAGACAAAGAAGTTGATTTCTCTCATCTATGCAAATAGGATTAAACTGGTAAAACTAACCCCTGAGGCCATCTGCAGGCTTAATGGCAAACTGCAAGTGAAATCATCTCAATATGCATCATGTGTATATAAAAAAAACATTCATTAGCATCCCGTGCATGTAGCTTTTTAATGACTTTGTTGACTACAGCTAATTTTCTCGGCTCTGACCTTGAACTAAATCTAAGTAACGACCCACGTTCCTCTGGTTATAGACATAAAACAGGTGTTCTGCATCCATGAGTCTGGTTAACGAACACCACTGTGCCGTTTGATGTACCTGTCTGTAAGTGCAGATAATGATCTCCCTCAGATGATAGTGCATGGGCGTCATGGTCTCGCTGACAGTATCCAGTGCCAAGTCTACTTCCTTCTTCATCCTGTGGCCATCGGGGAGAAGACGAACAAGTTGCATCACAACCTGCACAGGAGGGAAAAGCACACACACACTCATTATACAGCCTGTTTCCAGCTGAAACTCTTCAGAAAGTTTCCCTGAGTCGGGGTGAATCTGCAAACGTTTACACCTACTGTAGACTTCTATAGTTATAAATAAAAATGTCAGCATTTCTCTTTAAAATGTTTAAATGAAAGCTAAAGTTGTACAGCTGATGCAATGTAAATACTTTTTCCATTTTCTCCAAACACAAAAATAAAACTGCTACAAATGCCGTTTAGAGAGAGATGACATGTGGCTTTTGTCTGACGTTATAATAGTTCTGTGGATGATACAAAATGTGTTTATGATGTTTGTACTAAATCCCTCACATAACAATTTTAGCAATTTTATGCACATTTTCAGTACCTTCCAGAATGAGCTGCTTCAGGGCTCTGTCACTTTAAAGGGCAAACCATCCACAAATCAACTTTTTGCTGACAGTTGTGTAAATGAGTTTAGCATTTTATAAACATTTTTTTTTTTATTAACATTCAGCCTAAACCCATCTGTGTAGCGCTATCTTCAGGTTAAAATTCTACGCCATATTTGAACTGGAATCAGCCTTTGCTGTTGGCTACTGTGACGTAGCCAGTACAGCCTGCTGCTGCTTTGGGGTATAAACAGCAGAAACTGCATCACTCCTTCTGCTGGCTTGGCCAATCACGAGCCAATACGGCTCAGAGTCCCTTGCCTCCTCCAAAAACATCAGTCACTGCTAAAGTGCTGCCATCTTGGTTATTCTGGCATATTTTTTCACATATAAAGTGTGGGTGGATTAAGATTGGGAGAAAACGAGCTGGAGCGGGCCACGGCCACCCATCCCTTGCTCAGGCTACTATAAGCTGAGAAGCTCCAACATCCGGCCTGCTCCTCCAGTATCAGCTGCTTTTCTTCATGTGAGAGATGGTTGTATTCTAGTTTCCCTGTTTGTGACATCACAAATATGGACTTCTTGAAACAGCTCGTTTAGGCACATAATTCCTAAAACCAAACACTGACAGAAAACAGATGGACAGAGTATTTTTTTTACATTTGTACTTTATAGAAGCAGTTGAGACGCACATGGCAGCACAAAATGAGGAAAAAGGTGAGTTTTGCATAATACATCCACTTTAATTAAAATAAACTCATCATTTATATTCGTATTTTAACCAACAGGATGCTTTGACATTAGGATCCCTGTTACAACCTGAATCACAGGACCACAATAAAGAAAGGAGACTGGACAATACATAATTAAAAACAGCCTATAAAAGTCTAACAGCATGACCAGACTGGCAGCAAGTAACACAGGCAGAAGCCTCAGTGGTGATCAGCCTGAAGCTGCACCAAACAGGCTTTCTGCCTACACCCACAGGCCCAACCGCTCAATGCAGTCAAGGCCTGCACATCAGCCTGGAGTCGCATTCCCAAAGGTCTCAAGGTCTAAAGCTAAACAGCAAGTAACAATGAATCCAGCTGTGATCCAGCAGCTGTGATCACAGTGGAAGAACCAACAATAAAGGAAGATTATATACCTAACAGCCCACAAAAAAGCTGGTGAGGAAACTTTGGGTAATTTGAGAGTTGTACAAGGATTCAGAAATTATTAGAAATCACACGTATCCATCCCTTTTTAACCTGCAATACAATACATAAGCTATTACTGAGCGCAAAGTTTGGCTAGTTTTATTTTGTCTGTTAAACCTAAAGCACAGGCATTCAGTGTGCTAATTGCATATTCTGCTGTGTTATTAATGCAATCAATGCTGCAGAAGCTTCCTTGCATTCTGTGCATTGACTCACTCCTGTCTGCACTCCTTCCACCATCGGGGCAGTTTCAGTGTGTCGACCTAATTAATGCATTGTTGCAAATGTGCGTCAGCATGTTCGTGTAAACATGTTGACCCAGCAGAAATGGGCACATTTCCATCAGCGCAGGACTTTAAACCACAGCTGTGTCATAAACATCTAGCTAACTTAGGCAAAAGACTCAGGCTCAGATCTAAGGAGTGTCTTTTATTTAAAATATTCATTTGCACGAACTTTCAATATCTATATTTTGTTGAAAGGAGTTTCTTTGCATCTGCCCTTGTTATCAGAACAGTTCAAACCCCTGAATCTGTGAATGCCTGCTGGAGTACATTACATCACAGCTTAAATCGATAAGGCAACATCAATGCTGTTTTGGCTTCTTTGCTCACAAATTATATTAGCATAAAAATAAATGTAACTTACTGAGTAAAACAGTGTTCTACCCTCCCTTTGACTAATAAAACACTTAAATCATGTCTTTAGAAACAGGTGAGAATTTGTTTAAACTCTCAAAAAGATATAACATAAATTTGTCCCCAGGATGAACTGAAGTCGCTTAGTTTCTTTGCCAGGTCTTTGCTAAAATTAGGGTCTGACTTGTTCCTCCATCAAGTAGTGGGTTGGACTTTAACGCCATGGCAACATCCTATTTGACAGTTAAGGCAACAGGGAATTTGCCTGCATCCCAGACCCTTAAGAGGCTGAATCAAAGCGCAATGGGGTTTCCATGGTAACCGGCCCATGTAACTAAGAGACTCTGGTGGCCACACTGCCATGTGACTGGCATGTGAAATCATGGTTCTGCAGTGTGTGTGTGTGTGTGTGTGTGTGTGTGTGTGTGTGTGTGTGTGTGTGTGTGTGTGTGTGTGTGTGTGTGTGTGTGTGTGTGTGTGTGTGTGTGTGTGTGTGTGTGTGTGTGTGTGCGCGCGTGCGCGCACATGTGCTTACATAGCTGAGGACTCAGCCGACAGACTCCGGTTACTGATTGGGTGATACAAATCTGAATCAAATGCTTAAGGCTAAAATATGAATACAAACCCATCAAAAAGGAGGAACAATTAGAGTTTGTCTTACAAATATTTGTTTATTTGAATCATAATCAAAGTTTAGGAAAAAATAAACTGAAAGTTGAAACTATTATTAAGAAGAAAGTGCATGTTTATGTTTTTATGAATGTCTATGATGCATTTTCCTATAATTTATCATCACCCTTTTATCATCTGTTTTATTCATGTCATAACATTTTTAGAAACAATCTACAAATAAGTCTAAGTTTAAATTTCTATTCTTTGTAAAAAAAAAACTCTTACATCATAGCTTGATCTGGATTTAACAACTAAAATTTAGTGTAAGTGAAGTTTTTAAAACATGTTAAGAACTTTAAAATGTTGATATTTTCCATAAGTTCTTACCTCAAATTCTCCTTTTGTGTACTTTGCATCTGGAACACTCACAATCTCATCATCCGCACACTCTGGAAACCCCTGCATCAGAGAGGCAGGTTCTCATTTGGGTGATTGGAAACACTGATACCCAAAAAAACCTTTAGAAAGTTCGAGAGTGCTGCTTACTTTAAAGTGCCAGAGAGTCAGAACAGAAACAACCATGGTGGTCGTGGTCCTGCCTCTGCCGCTGGCGCAGTTAAAAACAAAAGCCGAGTGGGGATCCTCAGCCAAAGCGCTCTTCATGGCCTCTAGCAGCTTATCAAAATCCTGCAAAACAATTTTTCATTTTAACTTCATGCAGAATTTCTGTCACAAGCGTTACACACCTAAACATGCATACACATAAAATACATTATTGTCACCAAATACAAAAATTGTTATTGCAAAAACATGTAGAATAAAAGCATAATAGTTTATATTTAAATTTAAAGGAAACATTCTTATCCACTAGAGGGAGCCCAAGGCTTAATGTTTATAAGATACTTTTTTTTATGCACATATCTTCACCTCCTCCCGCAGAGCGCAGCAGTCCGTCACAGGGATGCGTTTGTATTCGAGGCCTTGGTGGGAGCTTTTGTGTTGGTTAAAGATCTCTTGAACTGTCAGGCAGCTTTTAAACATCTTCATCTGCTTCTCATGCTCTAGTATCACCTCCAACCACTTCTGAGCCTGTAGAATCTCCTCTTTCAGGGATGTTTCTAACTTCTGCAGAACAGATAAAGCATATTTAATTAGAATAAAGTGAAAAAGCTACTTAACTTACGCTTAAAGCCGTAAAAAATGTTTAAAATATTTGCTTCCTACCTCTAGAACCTGTGGATCACTCGTTGGGACAGAGATGTGCTGGTCCGGTTGTGACGATTCCCTGGGTGTAAGAATCTGTCCATTTCCTTCCAGCACCAAATCCTCCTGCAGGTTGACCCACAACACGTGGCTGTGCTTCCTCTTTTCATCCATCAGATGGGCCAGCACAGCTCCGATCGCCTGCAGAGCACACAGACGGTGAAGGCAAAGGGCCTATAGTCCAGCTGCAGCTAACTGCAGTGGGTGTTTGAGTCTTCATAAAATAATCACGAGTCACTCCTTTGAATCTATCTGTAGCTGTGAATATTACAGATAATTACAGGGATGTAGAAGTCAATCCTGGTGATTACAACAAATAAAAAGAAACCGATTATATCATCCACTTCACTTTTATGTTAATTACAACCTCTAACAAGGCCACTAATCATCTTCCTGGTGTTCCATCAAACCAAGCAGCAATCTAGCGCAGATGAATGAGAGCGTTGGTGTTAATTTGATGAAAGAAGAAGAACGACACCGCACCTCTGATGTCGGCTGAGCCACTCCATAAACGGGCATCTTGGGCACTCGTCTGAAGTTGGCCGCCTTCATCTCTTTGACTGTGCTGAGCACATCAGGGGCCAAGCACTCATCAGCAACCTGCCCAGACACAAGCAGTTTAATCAGAAGGTGAAAGGTGGCGCATGTTTAAGACACAGATGAGAGCTGGAGGGGGGCAGCGTGGGAGGCTGTCACGCCGGTGACAAGCTTGAATAAAGGCGCCATATTCATGCAGCCGTTGACATGGCTCTGTGAAAAGATACGTAGGATTTGAATATTTAAACGAGATTAACAGCATCGGGTTGCAAAGCGTCTCGGTACACAAACACAACAAAAAACAGGAGCGACTGAACTTTTTTCCTGTCTATTAAATTGATTTTAAGCACTTGTTGATTAAAGGGGGAAAAATCCAAATCTCTGGTGAATAATGAAATTATTTAACATTTAGTTATTTATTTAATCTTTATTTGACCAGGAAGACCCCATTGAGATTAAAAACCTAACTTTCAAGGGAGTCCTGTCCAAGAGGCAGCAAAAGTTACAGTTACAAAATGTTTCTGTTACACAGACATGTTACGTACAAGAAGGCAGTTACAACACAGGGAATCCGTCTCAGGGGCTCTCAGTCTGGTGTTAAATGTATTTGAGGAGATAAACACTTCAGGCACTCGAGCAGTACAGACGCTTCCCTCTTTTGCTCCCTTATCTTTTTTTCCCAAGGCTCTTTGTCCTGTCTGCCCACAGAGTGCTTCTCTGCATTTCTTCAGAAAAACTCTCTCTCTATATATATATATATATTTTTTTTTTTACTAACCATGGATTTGATAAACTGGTCATTCAATGCGATTGATAAGATTTTTTCAACAATGAGAACGGAGCGGGGGGGCTCCCACATGTCCACAGGAGACACACCCGGTGGGATATATGCTGGATTCCTGGAAGGAGTGGAAGATCATATGCCTCTCCCAGCTGTAAATTGAGGACATCGAAGACGTGCGGATATTTGGTCTGATGATCACTGGATTTCTCCTGATTGGAGTGGGAGGATATCTGGTTTTCTGGAAATTTGGGAAGACGGGAGCGATTGGAGGGCGACCCGCACCCACGGAAAGCACCGTCCGTGTGGAGACTTCACAGAATGGGATGTTACTCGAGGTGAATCGTAAGCTGGACAATGTTCTAGTTGCGATACCGGTATTACTGCGCAAAATGGATGTCATCTCGGAGCGAGTCATCGGACGGTATGGACAAGCTTAAAAACCCAAAATTGGCTTCACTGAAGGACTGGAAAGGATCAGTTTAAAGACTGAAGGCAGAGAGGCCTGACCCAAACAAATTCTTGTTATCTGAATCTGATGCCCTGGTAGCCTTGAGCTGCAAGCAACTAAAAACCCCACGAAGGAATGCAGACAGATGCTGTGAAAACCCGAATAAAACTTGTAAGATTCAGCAATTAGTTAAAAACATACAGAGATCAACTATTTAAGCTAAATCTTCACACATAGTTAAGCAAGGCTGCTATTAAAGCACAGAAGAGCTAATAGTGTGCATAAAACTCTTTTTCAAGAAGGATGAATCATGAACCTAAAAGAGTATGGCGAATGTGAGGGGATCATAACAAAAACATATTGGAGGAGGTTTTGAAACTTGTTACATAGCACTGGTGTGTTCTGCCCTCGTTCTGCTATCTTTCGTATTAGAGACTTTTAAAACACCCCTAGATGTTCAGCCTGTGGAAAAGGCAAGAGAAGATGTCAATAAAAAAGATTAACAAAGTAGAAACAAGTGTCCTAAGTATAGTTTGACTCAATAATTTTGGTAATAATCTATTTTTGTCAGTTAAGAGTGTCCATTGTTTTATTTGGAACAGAAATCCCAAATTAAACTAAATTTTGATTGAGATTAGTTGCACGGCCCTGGTGCATTTAATGCATAAAGCTCAAAATTTAACAAGCTGCACATGAGATCAAAACATTTTTAAAAGTGACATTTCAGCAGGAGTTCCTCACCAGGACACGGGCTCCTTTTGTGACCAGCTCAGCAGGAGCTGACAGCTCTGACAGGTTCATACGAGCCAGTAACCGGTACAACCAGGCATGGCGGCACATCCACTGGCTAAAGTTGAACACAAAGGCAAGTGGGTACTGGAAAAAAACAAGATAGTTACAAATGAGCTGCGTCACGTTGTTAGTAAAGAAAAAAAGGATAACTGGAAATATGTACCTGTTCATGAAGATAGGCATTAAATACAATCAAGTAGAAGTAGCGCTCCAAGCTCTGCATTGTTCGGTGGAGAAAGTAGTCTTTGGTGCTGCTTCCCTGAAAGTTTAAAAATAAACAGTATCTGTTCATGTTAGCTACTTCTTCCATTTTTATTTTCCTGACCGGAAAAAATACATTTCACTTCTGAGCTCATTAATAAGGATGACACCAGCATCCTGTTCTGATTTCAGTCATGATGGTTTTTAAGTACAATTTAGGCAGCTGGAAATCATGAGTTATTTAGGTCACTGGGTGAGGTCTCTGAAGAGAAAGATGCCACAATCAGATGGGAAAAAAAGATAATCACTAACCTGAATTTGATAATCTTCTCCAATTCCTTCCAGCTTGCTCTTGTTCTCGTATATTGCTTCTTTAATGTTGTGCATTTCTGAACACAAGGTGATGGCATGGTCAACCTGATTAAAACAATAAAAATAAAATTCACACGTGGTGAAAACTTTCCAATCAAGCAGCGAGTTTCTACAAGACCAGTCTCTCTAAACATATTTTGTACAAAAAAAAGAAAAAAGGGTCTCTTACGTTTTATTTCTTAAGTCATTATTAGCCTTATTTGTAAACATTTTCAGAATAAAAGTTTATTGTACTGCGTTAATGAAGCTGAAGTTCAGGTCACTGTATTTATTGTGAAGTTACATAAACATCCATGGACCTGCTGATATCTTGTCTGCAGCTAATGCAAAACAAAAGCTACACGTTTATTTGAATTTAAAGCAGATAACTGAGATCTGAGCACAGGTGCTTGCTCAACACGCATTTGAGTATGCATGCTAATGTGATGTCTGAGCAGCCTCTCCAATGCACCTCTATACCTTCACCTCATTTCACATGCATGGAAAAACTGATGCAAATTAGCCCAGCTTCATTTCCACTGCTCTACAGACTGATGTCAGACGAAGCTTGTTCCTGATAGTTAAAGTTAAAGAAACTAAATTATTGGGTTTAAATTAGAGCTGTCCTAGGGGGGGGGAGACTAGATTTTTAGGTTACTTTATTATGTTTTTGTCATAAAATCTGTCCATTACTGTAATATTTCAGTATTTTTATATCTATTTGATTGCAGTAGGGCTATGTATCTGAAGTACCTCTTCCATGAGCTGCTGTCCATTAGGCAGCCTGCTGATCAGATGCTGGATGACCTGAAATAGTGGTCTGGGTTCTGAAGCTGCTGCTTCCTCAATTCTGCAACACAAAGCAAAATATTTTCAACTCATTTTCCATAAAACAGTTCAAGAATTTAAGGGCCTAGCATTCTCTGGAATGATCCAACAAATTAGGAGATATTTTGCAAAAACAACACACACAAAACAAGTTTAAAATGCAGGAGATTAAAATCCTCAATAATTAGAGACCTAAAGGATGACTGTCTCTGTTTTGCTAGTCTTTCTAATCGTGGGCTCTTACTGGGGTGGCAGCTGCAAATCCCCTCTGAGGCGGTTCATGACTAACGTGCCGAGGATCATGGCAAGGTTTGTGCGACCGACGCCAACCTGGCAACTGAACAGCAGAGCAGGCAGCTTCTGGGACTCAGTGTGGCTCAGAAACAAGCTGGGGCTCTCCTGGAAAACAACACACAAAGGAGGAGGGTTTAACTCAATGCCGTCTAACTGAGGTGGGACCAACATGCTGTTCTAAAGCTACAGATGATACAGTTAACTTCTAAAAGAAAAAAATACTTGCTAAATATGTCTTTTGGTTGACAAGTGAAAATAAGAGAGAAGAAGTTAGCAACGGCGTTTTACTTCAAAACAAAGATCAACGGAAAATCTTATCAAAGTTTAAGTGGAGTTGAACTAAAAAGTGACTGTCAAGACGTAGTGTGGCATTAAAGCTGCTGTGCCAATAAAATTATACAACAGATGCCACTTTCTAACCACAGGGAACGCAGCACGCGGCTGCAGCAAGGCAGTCCTAAAAAGGGCAGATGAAAGAGAGGAAGAGCACATGCATGAGCGAAGGGCAGGACAGAAACCAGACGGAGCAGGTGATTGAAGAGCGGACATAAACTGGCTGCAGACTCGTCTCTTTTGGTGATTTACTCTTTCATGTGGGAGACAGATTTAAATGTGGATTAAATAAAAGAGAGTTTGACCCTCTCACCACTGCACTGAGTAAATCCAGGTAACCTATAAAAATCTGGTCATGAATTACTCTACAGACAGGATGAAAACATAAAACACAACCACAAAAGGGGGACTTTATTAACGGACCTTTGACATGCTTACCCTGAGTATGGTAACAAACGCATCAAAGTCTTCTTCCAGTGGTGCTCCTTCCACTGGTAGTGGTAGTCTGTAGTACCTGCAACACAACAGACTGTCATTCACAGTTAAGCCCGAAGTCAATGTTGTGTCAGTAGAGCCCATAAGTAAGTCTACACCTGACAGCAGAGCTTCATCATGCCCAGTTTACTAATGTGGCGAGGTAAACACTAGAGCAAGGACCGATGCAAAAGATTAGAATTCTTGGGTCACTTTAGAAAGTAAGAGATATGTCTGATCTGTAGAGCTGTAGCGAAGCGTCGATGATGTCGACGGCTCGATTCCATAAATTCGTCGACGCACCACGCCCACTTGTTGCATCCCCAGGAGTTTGTAAATAGAGGAGGAATCTGCCTGTTTTTCCTCTAGTTCGCCCTCTTCTCCGCCTTTAACATCTCCGCCAAATACAGAAGACCCGGAACAATGTCCATACGCTACAAGATTCCTGTTTTGCCTGCCTTCGTCTCCCGACAACGGACAACAACTTCCAGGATCAAATGCGCTGCTTCGTCCCTACCGCAGATGTAGAAAATCACCGGGAGCATTTCTCCCTTCATAAAGGAGCTTCTTTCAGACATTAGGAGAGCTGTTTTTTGTGGTAGCAGTCTCCCCTCCGTGCTGGTCTGTTTGCTGGGTGTTTTTGGTTTATGTAAACTTGGTAACTTGAACTTAACGTTGGTAAAGCTACTGTTAGCATCTTCGCTAACAGCTTCTTGCATTTGGATTGTCACGATTCGAGGATGGTTAGGACCCAAAATGCAGGTACCCAGGATGACATGAGGCAGGAGATGATATATAAAGAAAAAATCCTTTTATTTTATAGGATGAACAAAAGAATAAATCCAAACGACAGTGAGCCAAAAAGTCCAAAAATGTCCAAGTACCAAAACTAGAGATCAAAACACTAGAGACTAGAGAAGACTGAGATCCAAAATACTAGAGACTAGAGAAGTCTGACAGAATTACCACAATGGACCGACACAACACAGAGACAAGACAGTGCTTATATACACTGGGAGGAGCAATTAGGGAAACAGGCAGCAGGTGTGTGGAGTGAGGGCTGGAGGGAAAGCAGGTGAATACAATTATCTAAAAGGGGAACAGAACCAGAGGAGGGCAGATAAACCTAAAACTATAAAACACAAAACTAAACCTAAAGACTGAGGGAAGGACTCACACCCACACTCACACACACATACACTGAGCTGGGGAAGGACACACACACACACACACACACACACACACACACACACACACACACACACACACACACACACACACACACCGAGCAGGGGACAAAAGGGCTGGAGCTACAAGGACACAGAACGTGAAGGAACACCTGGAGGGGCTGGGGATGACTGAATGAACACAGGACCTGGGAGGAATGATTTAAAGGGCTACAAACAGAAGACACATAAATGAGACGTAGACAAAAGACACATGAGGGTGCTATGAGACACAAAAGGGGAATCTAGAGAGGGATGGAGAACACCAGGAGACACATGAGGGAAGACACAGACGCAGACCATGACATGGATAAGCTGTTACCTTTTGGTTTAGAGTTCATCTTTTTTGTGGTGCAGATCTCCCTTTTATTACATTTAGAGTGTTGTGGGTTTTTGGTTTAGTTTAATATATCACCTTGAGTTTGGTTTAACCACCCAGTTTAGAGTTTGGACCTTTGGAGATCCTTATTTTGGTCCAGAACTCAGTAATCTTTGCCCAGTGGGACATCCCTAGTTATTTGTACTTTTGTTTTAATTCCCCACAGGCAGAATTAGTTTTATTATTCCCTGTGAACCTGTGGATGGAAAGATTTATGTTTGTTGTTGTTGTGAATAAACCTGATCATCATTTTAACTTTTAGATCCCACGTTGTTGTCCCTTCCTTTTTGCACACGAGCCAAACTCCCCAGGAAGGGTTGTAACACCAATCACCTCACGCACATAAGTGACCAAAACAAAGGAGCATGGAGACACTCCGTCTCCAACCACCTCTCAGGCAGCAGCCTGCACTCCCGTGTTTTACATGTCACCAGAACATAACCAATAAAAGCAGTGTTATACAAAATGGAAGGCCTGTAGTGTTTATTCTCTTACAGTACCAATTGATCACCGTTTTTGAGGAATTTATTAGAGATTTTCTGGTTTTTATTAATTGTGCAATAGAAAAATAATAATTAGATTAATCATCTAAATAGTCATTAGAATAGTCAACTATTCGATAAAATAATCGTCAGAATAATCGTTTTAAAACTAATCGTTTACCCCCAGCCCTACTAATCTGGGTTAGATCCAAAAACATCCTTGTAATTTGATTTATTGACAAACTGTCAAAACCAAGAGAAAGATTTTCAGAATTCCTCTCTGGGAAAGAAAGAGATTACATTTCCCTAAAAAGGAAGTGCAGAACTAAGTCAGTTAATCAACTCACAGGACGCAGGAATATTTTGTGTTTAAATCTAGTGGATGAAAGAAATGCAGAGCGGGTCAATAATGTGTGAGTAGCATATCACGATAAGCAGATGTAACCAACCTGTAGCCCGACATGGTGAACATCGGCCTCTTATAGACCTCTTCAGTCACATGGATGTCCTCCTCACAAGCGATCGATATCTTCTGCGGTTCGTCTTTGAAGAACTCAATGTCGTTGTAGACGTAGAAGACATCTTCATTGAGCTTGGCAAAGTCATATAGCTGTGGGAGAAATTATTCTTAATCCTAATCTGTTGAAAACAACTTGTTTTTGGTTGTTTTAGATATGGAGTGTATGTTTGACACCTCATTTCTGATGGTTAGCTCCAGTTTTTCCACTGTCCCGTCCTTTTCCAACCCATGAAGGTTCTCGTGGAGATTTTCCTTCCTCCGCGGGGTATATGGCACAAAATCGTCATCCTTGTGGAGGAACACCACAGGCTCCTCTCTTACACAGAAGAATATAATCTCCTGTTTGCAAAGCACAGCAGGACACACATCAGATTTTATATCTGTGTAGAAATTGCAGCCTTCTACTGGTTACATCACTTTTAAGTGGGCTGCATGGTGGCGCAGTGGTTAGCACTGTTGCCTCGCAGCACGAAGGTTGCAGGTTTGAAACTCGGCTGCGGCCTTTCTGCATGGAGTTGCGTGTTCTCCCCATGCATGCGTGGGTTTCCTCCGGGTACTCCGGTTTCCCCCACAGATCACAACATGACCTATAGGTTATAAAATGTAAGTCGCTTTGGATAAAAGCGTCTGCCAAACAAATAAACATAAACAATAAACTTAAATAAAGTGGAGACGAGCCTTTTCCACTGAGACAGATGGCAACAATTTCACGTTTGCTCAGTTCTACGATCAAGCATTATCCTCCCGAGTACTCGACTCTGCAAATATTTACTGACAACATGGCCCCTCTCACACCACAGTTATAAGCCGGGGCTGAGACGCCTTCTTCCCACCTTGGTGTCGTGTGAAATGACCACAGAGGACAGGATGGGGGTGAGGGAGGATCCTCTACTGTTATGTATCTGAGCTGGGAGTAGAGGTAGTCACAGAGTCAAGTTGGAGAATTGGCACGTGTGTGTGTGTGTGTGTGTGTGTGTGTGTGTGTGTGTGTGCGTGCGTGCGTGCGTGCGTGCGCATTTGTCTGCTCAGTCTTAAAGTCTCTTTCTGGAGTATTTCTCTTATCCGATGGTACCATCTAGCGACTGACAAGCATATCACACAAAAAGTCTGTCACTCTGTTTCTTTAAGATGGCGACTTCACGTTTCTGTTTACAAATGTGCTTCTGTAGTCGACAAACAGAGCTAAAACACGTTGTTTTTATAAGTATTATTCTCATGTCTTGTTGTGTTTTCATATATTTATATTTTAAAGACTTTCTCGTCTGTGAAAAGTTCATCAACTCTGCATCAGCCGAGGTATTCCTTAAATTGGAAGCATCTAAGCCAGGGGTGTCCAATGCTGGTCCTGGAGGGCCGGTATCCAGCAGGTTTTGTGGTTTTTCTACTCCAACAGACTTGATTCAGTGGTTGAAACACCTGTGCAGCAGCTCATCAGGCTCTGCAGAAGCCTGTTAATTAGCTGCTGATTGAAATCAGGTGTGATCAAACAGAGTTCAAACTAAAACATGCAGGACACCGGCCCTCCAGGACCAGGATTGGACGCCCCTGACTAAGCAGTAGTCTAACGTTATTGGTTAGTTCTGGTCGGTGCTCAGTTTCCTGTTGCACAGAGCTCTGCGGGGCAGGGGGCGTGCTTAGCAAAAATAAAAATAAAAAATAGACGTATTGCTTACATTATATCACAGTAGATGATAAGATAATCACTTTTACGGATTTCTGAAAAACCATACATAATTTCTGAAAGTAGAAAACTCTGGAAAGCTACTTTAATCCCCAGTGAGTCGTGGTGGATGGCTGCTTATGCTGAGCCAGGATCCTCTGGAGGTTTCTTCCTGTTAAAAGGGAGTTTTCCTCTCCACAAGCTGCATGCTTGCTTAGTAGGAAGATTGCAGTAAAGACTCTGATTCTAGCCAGTGACTCAATTTTCTGGGTTTCTTATATTGGACACTTTTTACTGATTGGCTTAATGAGCAAAACTGTATTGGAATGTATACTGTGTGAAGTGCCTTGAGACAACTCTTGTCATGATTTGGCACTATATAAATAAACTGAAATGATTTGAGTATAAAAGAAACATACCTCTTGTCCTTGAGCTTGAAGCCTCTGAAGGACCTGTCTAAAGCCATTCAGGCTGGGTTGACCCATTCCATACAGCGGGTAGGAGCCCTTCACTTGGCGGAAATTGGGGGCTCCATAGTGGTCTGTGGTATTTATGACATCTACTTTGCTGTACACATCTTGAACCATGAAGTACTCACCCTGTCAACACATGCAACATTCATCCGATTTACCCTTGATAACATTTCACATTAACATTGAATCGCCCAATTTTGTATGGCTGTTTATTTATTTTTCATAGAGTACAACAATACTAGCCTGGCAAGCCATCCTATATAAGTGACGGGCAGAAAAAAACAATTTTGCTTCAGCTAATGATGGTCGAGATTCTAGGCTACAGTTATACTGTTTAGATACAACTTACTGCTGAAAGGTTAAAGCAGTTATAGCAAAGTTAGAAAACAAATTAGCTTAAGCCATTTTTTCATGCCTCTTAACAACGTTCAGACAAAGTATAGCTACAAATATATTGTGAAGATAATTATTTTTATTAATAAAGAGGTTCTCTCGCCAATTACATGTTTCGGACCAAACGCAACCATTGGACTATCCGGTTATCCCTCTCACTGAACTGCCTCAATTTCATACTTCCCTGGGTTCTCCACTCATTACACACTTGTGTATTTAGTAACAGAACACCACTGGTGTGAGAGGTTATCCGCTCATTAATATCAGAGAAGGAGAAACAGCTGGAAAAACACCATTTGAAGTCATGGACAACAAAAGACGTCTGGACATAGAAAACGACGAATGGTGTTTAGCACTATCTCGTTTCCTCTGGCAATGGGGTTTTTGGTTCTGGCAAGATACCTGAGCCAAGGGTGAGTGTTCCATAGCCATGTCTGCATTCAAAACCAAGCTTGTTTGCAGATTCGCTATAGCGGCTTTAAGATGTAATTGACCTGGCTCATGCTGAGATACAACTATGTCAACAACAATGAAAAAAGGTGACACAACCCCCTTTATAAAAGCTTCATGGAGTCTTTTAATTCATTTGTTCTCGAGAAAAGATGTGAATTTTAATGACAAACATCTATACAATCAGTTTTTACATTTGGTGCACATGTTCTTGTCCTGTGATTTCAAAGTATTTCATGTAGCTAGAAAATAACCATCCTACAGGAGAACTGGGCAGATTTCATGTTCTGTCCACACTGTAATAGTGTGTTGAAAGTGCACTCCCCTTTTACCCCATTTAGACCCTTAGATAGCTGTAAATTAACTCCTTGGTGACTCTCATACCAAGCATGTCTGAACACAGGGATCAGCTGTTTGAATCTATGGCTTTCAAAGGTCCATTAGGGAAAAAGGTTTAAATGAAGGGAAAAGGGTGCAGCAAGTCCTCTGTGGTTCTGTGTACTCACAATACCTAGGTTTTCAGGGTTTGGGGATTCAAGATTGGCACAAGTGACAGGAAAACAAGAAATGGCTAATGGAGGCACTTGTGACTACGATGCTTTTGGGTCGTAAATATCAGTCAAGGACAGCATCATTTGTGTGAACCATGTGGGGCTATTTGGTTGTTAGCACATAGGCATAACTTGTAATACTGTGAAAATACGGCATTAATTTATGTACTGCTGTTATAAGACTTGGGCTCTGTAAGGTCTGCTCACAGTTGTCAGCTCATATCTGAAGTGTTCTATTGAGATATTTCCCCTATATGTGTTCAATTATATCCAATTCTTCCAAATTCCAACTAAGAAGAAAATCAAGTGTCAAGTGTTTTAACATTCAAAATCAATCAGACTCATGTATTAAATACATATGATTCTAAAACACATTTCTAATTACTCTGGGTATTTGATAAAACATCATTTCAGGTTATTTCCTGTGCAATGGCAAAAGTCAAAATGATGCATTCCAATATGGCAGCCTGGTGAAGTTGTAATATGCAAATTTAATGAGTGAATTTGCTCCCAACCCAAACTTTGGGTCCTACTGAAGATTTTTCTCATTTACAGTTTACCTCTATCTCTAACCATTTCCAAGCTAAAACCTTCTGAAATAGTCACGTCAAAAATTTCTTGAAAAAACTCAAAGCCCAAAGGGTTAACGTCTAATGAGTTACTTGCTTACAATGACTATACATTCAGAAAATGTTTAGCATTCAATGGATAACACAGCTATTTTTATTTTGCACCTTTTTGGCATTTTTCCAAGCAAAAAAAATCAATAAAAAACAAAAAAGTGCTAAAACATAAAAAATAAAACACAAAGAAATGTCTGCTTTTAGCATGATATAAAGATCTTGTAATTCTTCATTAAACCATCTGAGCAGATTTGATTAAAGACCCAAACTAATCGTGAGATGTGGTCGACATAAAAGGGAAAATATGCTCTTCTTTCCCATACACATGTTCCTGGGTAAAGAAAACCTGACCTTTCAACACTTATAAACAGAAGCTGTGGGTTAGGAGCTGAACCACCACAGCAGACGTGACAGAGCAGATCAAAGCCTTAATAAGGAGGTGATAACACATCTGTTTCAATGGCTGCTTCTGATCATAAAATAATGCATGACAATGTTCCAGCACCAGCCTGCAATTTGGACACGTAGATGTGAAAAAAGCGTTGTCCTTACCTTCACAAGGTAGTGCTCAGGCATAGAGTCGGATATCCGACCGACTTTGTAGTTGGCTTTGAGGATGTCATCGTGAATCTGAAATTCTTGTCTGCAGTTATATCTGGAAAAGACAAAAATTTAAATTAAAAAAAACCTGCTCAACTATCAGCTACTGTTTGCTCCACCTAAAGTGACAAACAAGATGATAAAGGAGGCAAACATTTCTCCTTGAGGATTTAGGAGGGGTGTCACCTTAGCGATGAAAAAGAATTAACGCCCAACTGTGAGAACGCAGATTCGAGCAGGAACTTACGTGATGACGACCGGTGCAACTTTGTTGGTGATAATGGACTTGGCCTTGTTGTTGTGGATGTTGACTGTGTGGATGGGGCTCATGCTCAAAGACTGCCTGCTGTCAGCCATCCCGTTGCCATGGACACTCTCAAGCGGCGACGCAACATAAACAGGCTGGGGAGCAGCGCTGGCAGTTGTACCCATGCTCCACAAGCTGCTGCAAAAGACATCGCAGTGGATTCAGAAGCAGGAAACAAACACACTCATGCACCTAAAAGTACAAATGCAACAACGAATAACTACATCTGGAGTGTGAAAACACTTTAAGAGTTTTGGGGTGTGAAAGTCACTCTGTGAGTGTCTCACACTTCAAGAATTATGTAAGTCAAAAATAAGGAAAAAGTGCTAGAGTCAAAGAAAGCTTTGCACAAGGATGCACGTGTGGCACTGTTACAGAGGTGTATTCAGCTTCTATAAAGTTCAAAGAAAGTGTAAAATTTCAATGCAAACTGGGCTGGAAATAAAGCAACGGGGTCAGACAATTTACTTTGGCGTGGTAAGGGCATGATACATGATTTGCCCTTCAAGTTTACACAGAACTCATGAAATGGTCTTGAAACCATTTGTACCATATTTGAGTTGATGGATAGTATTGTGTGACTCGAAGGACTTGCAAGTGTGTAATCAGGTTGTTCAAACCACTTGATGAATGGGGCGGAACTTGTCACTGTGGAAACCAACAAAATAGAGCTTTTGAGCATAGATGCGGTAGACTTGAGAAGGTCTTTCACTTAGGCTTTATGTTTTTGTTAACTGGATGATTTCAGTGCCTACTTGTTCTTAAATAGGTAAAAGTGAAGGTCAAGTGGAAATAAAACAACTGAGGTGTTAAAGAAGAAAACATCACAAATATAAAATAACATTATAGTCTGGGACAGGAAATAAAAACCTCGGTGACCTAAAAAAAAGCTGTATCCATCAGGGTCTAAAACATGCAAAACAGAAAGAATTCATTCAAATATAAGACGCCAAGTTACAATTATCAATATAATTCTTGAAATGCTCTCAAACCGTAGCAATCTGTTTACTTTTTTAAAGACTTGAATGTGATATTTCATGACAATCAGTTATTAGCCTAGTGGTTAGCAGCTCACGAGACATCACACAAGACTGGGTTAAAGAGCCTGTGGCATGCTATTTTACAACTTCCACAGCAACAATAGGCACAATATATGATAAAATATTACCATTGCACTATTGTGTAGGGATCCACATAGTTAATACATAGTTAACCAGTTAATGTAACCGTGTAAAACAATTTGGCCAGATTAGCTGCCAGTTCACGTCTTTCAGCTGTAATTTATTTTGTGCCTGGAGGGGCTTGGTGGGAGTTTACAGTTACCGGAGTACTAACCGTTTAATGGCTTCAATAACCAGTTAAACACATTTTTGGAAAATGCGCATACCTGCTATTTAGTTTTCATTTTTTATGAAGTAAAAGTTATTTTTGAGACCCATTTCTTCAACCCGGAAATAAGACATTTGGATTCAATCAAACCCCACCTGCCTCCAAGACATCCACAATAGTTCACAGCTGCAGACCCGGAGATCACAGACTCATTGTCATGTCCCACTCAACACCCCAACCCCCCTAGCCGCACACACATACACACACACACACACACACACACACACACACACACACACACACACACACACACACACACACACACACACACTCACACACACACACACACACACACACACACACACACACACACACACACACACACACACACACACACACACACACACACACACACACACAAATGGAGAAAAGGTGGCTGAGATGGTAGCAGACTCTACACCTGATTCATTGTCCCAATCCATTGATAACATTCAGCTAGCGGTTAGCTTTTTGGTTGTATTTGCCACCCTGGCCTGTCATCTGGTCGTTTTAACGTCGGAATGGCACTGCTTTGAAGAAGTAATCCATTTGAAAACTCCCTCTGCAACAGGCAAAGGTTTAACAAGTGGTCTGTTAAATCACGGTCACACTCTGGCTCGGCTCTCGCGAGCTTCTGATAATAAAATCCAACCATTACTGCCAATTCTTCAGTTAGACTAGGCAGGGATCCAGTTTTTCTTGCAGACAAAAATCTATTTTTGGGTTCTAAGCAAGGACATAATGCAGCAGCCCCAAAAGACACCTACCTCAGCGGTCATGTTCTCTGCCATTTTAGTGGGGCTTACTTTGCTGTTCCTTTAAAAGATTATACCAGGTGTGTGTCTAGTAGTAGCCATGAACTCGTGTTTAGGGAAGAAGGTGTCTTTTTGAATTTGAATGTTTGAAATGCTAGCGGTTACCTTTCACTTACAGTGCTCATGCTAAGCTAAAGCTAACAGATTACTGCTAGATTAGGAAAATGACTGGGCTGGTTACTAAATGCTTTTCCCACTTATCTAACTCTGGGGAATGTGGCCACAAACGAAATATCCTTTTAATGATTTAGAAAATGTCAAAGATAAAATATAGGCTGGGGAAAACAGGATTGTAGTAAAGTACTGCTGAAGCTTTTACCATAAACTCAAACATCTCTCCTTTGATTTATCATAACTTTGTTTAAACCAGGACTGTTCCTGGATGCCTCCTAAATTTCAAGTCCTGCTGAGAGGACACCCTGACCCAGGACACGTATGAGGGATTACCACTCTAGGCTAGTACAGGAGCACCTTGGGATCCCACCGGAGGAGCAGGTGGAAGTCACTGGGAGGAGGACAGTCTGGATTTTGTGGCTAGGATAACTTCCCACACAACCAGAAGACAAGTAGGAGTACCATTGAAACCTTAGAATGGCACTTTCTAACTTCCCATTAAGTTTGCATGACCTTTGAATTGATCTTTCTAAAACACAGAAAAAATTACTAAAAAATAATTTGTGTCTTTTATTAAAAATAGTGAGTGTAAGGAACAATCAAGGCAGTATTTAAATGCTGAAAGTACTTAAAGAGACTGCCAAGTGCCCATATTTTTATATTCAAAGAAGATTCAAAGCAAAGAGACAGAGAGGCAATGAGGAGATGTTCTTCTTCAACAATATAATCATATTTACATCTTAAGCAAAGAGTTGAAATATGTGAACACTTCTGCCTCCTGCAGCAGAAATGATGCTCACTTGGGACAGACGAAGCAGAAATAAAGAAAGGTGCTGTAGCAACTAGAGAAAAAAGGTTGTGAAGGGAATTTGCATTATGCTAGTACTAGCAGTGAAGTTTTCAAATAACGCCAATAAATCATTTGTGTCTTGTCTGTTTGTCTCTACCACCATTATTTGTTTTTACCGAGCAGTCACAATTCTGCCACACATACCATTCAAAGGTTGTGGGAGCATCTTCAAGGCTAACTTTCCAATGCTTATTAAAACTGGGTGAGACAGTCCAACTAGAAATATCATCAGCTTTTAATATTGCAAGATGTAGCATTTAGTTAGCCCGGTAAAAAAAAATAGTTATTTAAGTAGTTCGGGGGCAGCTAAGGTGTAAATGGCTGCAGCGAAACATAATTTCTTTGTAAAGATACCAAAAATAATAATTGAAAACTATTTTATTGGCCTCAGTGGGAAAATATGTTGCAGTAAGGAAATATCTGGCACAAAACATAACTGCAATAAAGAAACACCATGTAAAAGATAAAAATAAACAGGACAAATAGTTCCTATCAGTCATTTCACAAGGCTATAGAGCTCCGGGAGTTGACGTCACTTCTCCCGGCATGCAACAGTTCAAATCGAAATGGGGACATCTTGGCAGGCAGAAGCCCGCAGCTAGGCTATTTGTTATCGTCAGAAAACTCAATCAAACAGGAAATATGGTAGATTCCTGTTGTGCTCTAGGATGCCAGAACAGAAGCAGACGACATAAGGGATGAGCCATCTACAGGATTCCCCAAGATCTGGAACGCCGCAAATGTTGGATCATTGTAATAAAACGCGCTCGTGACCGGGCTGAAATGAAACTGTGGGATCCCGAGAGTAAAGGTTTTCACTTATGCAGCGACCACTTCCTGTCAGGTACTTAAACCAATGTTTCCTCAACTGTGTATGGTATTTATTTTAAATGCTTTTATTACGATTCTTAGTGGGCTTCCTAAACTTATTTTGGCGTGGCTTTTTCTGTCTTATTACTCATAGCAGCAAGTAAACATCACGTAAAACGTTGCCTCGAGTTCTGCGTGCTTCCAATTACGTGTTTTATGATCACATCAATTAACTGGCAAAGCTGTACTTAATTTTTAAGCAATGGTTGATATATAGTCAGATCGCACATAAAAGCACTTTGGATTGCTATTATCTGTCTCACCGAGACAGATCTCAGACAGATCCTGAGATGCTCCAGCCTGACATATTTATTTTATTCACGGAAAAAAATCAGACTAGTGATTTCTCTTGGCGTTCAGTTTATACATTCAAACAGCACAGCACTCTATTTAAACTTCTTACATGTAAATCTATGTTATTTGTGTTTTTGTTTAATCAGTTTTATAAATTATAAATGTCAGAGCATCTCAAATCTGGTAAGAAGTCCGCTCTGACAGCTTCCGGCATTTTTAAAAAGTATCCCAGGGGCATGGTACGGGTCGGCGATGTTTAATCTATTTAATTTCTGACTATATAAAATAATTTCTTCAGTTTTAAAGAGTGAAGTAAACTCCGACGGACTAAAATCCAAGCCGATTCCGCTCATTTTGTTTACCTTTGTTGCCTGCCAACATGGCGTCTACTCTCTGAGAGTCACGTGACGTCCGGAGCTCTACTTCTGTAGGAGAATATGCCCAATCTTATTATGGTCACAGGTATTTAAAGCTATCAAGACTAACTTTTCTATTTCGCTTTTCATGTCAGAATAAAGGTATAAATGCTGATTAACATAATAAATTAACAGTTTGAGCCTAATCTTATGGAGACTAAACTTAGAAATCAACTAAACCTATAAAGTTAACTTCTTTACATGACCTTTTCATGAGTATAACAATAAGTATATTTTAACCATGCAGTTTGATGCAGAGGCCCTCGCACGCAAGCTTTTCAGGGAGCTCTGCTGATAAACAAGCAATCCTTCTGACAACCTAACAGCCAGTAGACAAACTGCTGCTAAACACCTGGTTTCTGCACAAACCGACACAAAAGTGTGTTGTCCATCACTAAAAATGAAAGCTTCAGCGCTCAAAAAAGCCACCAAATGTGCACCAAGTCATATAGCAAAAACACGCAATCAAATCTATTTGATGTCACACAGCTCAGTGAATGAAAAGCTTGTGTTTAGCCGTCTGAGCTCGAAGCACCTCTGAATAACTCTTTTGCTGTGCTGAGAGCCGTGCCGGGTGAGTCACAGCTACTCCCCTCCTTGTTACGTCTGGAGGTGAGTGGGCAGATCAACCTTGTACTCAGAAACCCTTTTGAGTCAAAAGAGATTCTCTTCATGCAACTAGTAAGAAAATACATAAAGTTATTGTTTTGTTCCTGGATGCATAAAAAGAGATTGCTAACAGCCTTTAGACTTCTAATGGCTAGAAAAAAGTAAAAATGAAGCAAACCGCTACCCAAGTTCAGCAAAAGGAAGCCACGTTTTAAAGAAAACTTTGCTGCAGCTGCACAAATCTATTTGAGTCCACACCCCATACCAAAAGCATCTGTTACCACCCAAGAACAAAGCAGAAATAAAAAACACCAAAGAGCAACGATACACTAAATTCTAGCATCTTACAAGTGGGATAAGGAGCGTTCTGTACTCCCAGATCCTTTCCTTTGCTGCTTGTTTTCCGCCATGGTCCGAAAAGAGTGTGAGAACTTGGCATCACATCTAAAAAAGAAACGGTCCTCTCTGGAATTCCGTCACCCACCCCCAGATGGTGGGAAACACCCCTCGCGGGAAATGAAGGGTGCCTGGCTGCTTGGCACTCAGAAAAAACTCCAGTTTTCAAACTGCGCCCTGCTTCGCTGCATGCTATCTCCTGTCTGATGTTGGGAAGTTGATGCAAGAAGCTTTAGTCTCCACGGAGGGGACCGGAGGAAGCTGTCGTACATCTGGTGGCCAGATGGCTAAAGCTGAGCACGCTTTCACAGGACAAGGAACAGTTGACCATTTCAAGACTTTTATTTTTATTTTACTTTTACTTTCCAGCAGTACTCTTGCTCTCCACACAGCAAAGTACTCATAAATCTAGTCCAGTCTGTGTTACTTTAGGAAACTTTAAATTTGTAGGTTTCTTTTACTCTCCACCACAGGCATTTGTGATAATATGCACATTCCTCCGAACCTCAATGAAAACATAAAGTTTCCAGCACCTTATACTGTGGAGTTATTTGTAAAACAGGCTGTCTGCTACTTCCTGATGCTTCAGCTTTACAGAATCCAGAGGAAATGTCACTTTGCTAAGCCCTCTTTCTGACTGAAAACATCAGAGTGCCTGCTCTGCCTTACACACCGTCAGCTCTGCAGCGAGGTCTTGGAGCACGCATGTCTTGGCACGGAAGTTCCTGCTACAGAAAAGCAACAAACGCCTCCTCAGCAACATAGTTTTCAGCAGACCTGGTCTTAACAGGGAGGCAGGCAGGCAGTCAGGGCGGAGGTCTGTGTAGAAATAGCCTTCAGTCATAAACATCCTCCTTAAGGACCAATAATGGCAGCTCATCAGAGAGGCTGTTTATCCCACAAGTCAGCAAGAGTGTGACTGAAATGCACAAGAACTTATCAAGCAATGCAGAAAAAAGTTAAATAAAAACTGCATCATAATCTGTTACTCGACTTTTGTGAAGTTCATAGTGTAAATAGACACTGGAAATTTGGACTTAAATACAGTAGTGACGCAGTCGGATTGAAAAGGAGGCTCCTTCCAGCCAACCAGCATTGCTCCATTCAAGCGTACCCCATTTAAATTCAGCCAGTGTCCTAACTTCGCTGTAGCGGTGACTTCAGACAAATGGGGTCTGGGTGCAGGCAGGAAGGAGTTTGCAGCTGCAGGATGCATCTGCTGGTGGCCCTAAGGAAGGATGCCGAGCACTCTTCATTCAAAGACAGATGCAGCAGTTTGAGAGAGAGATGCGTATCACTTTGTAACACATAAGAAATCTATCAACACCACATCCCATAGCAAGGGTAAAAAGGCAGCCACCAGGGCGGTTGTGAAAGCCACAAAAGGCTGATCTTGATTCAGTTGGCCTGTTTGGCACCGTGCTGCTCATCAAATTCAATGATCATGCTGGTCTCCATGGAGGCCACTCATTCAGTCTGACAATGTTAAGCCCAAAAGCCTGTTGGCTGCACAAAACCAGAGCAAAACCACTGATTTAATGACAACATGCTGCGTCGGACAGCTCAAAATGTATGAAGAAACACTAAGTTTAAGAATATGCAAAAGACCCTTCACTGCTTTGAAATAGGAGCAAAAAAGTCAGTCGGTCACAACCAGATGAAAAGAAATGTCAGCACACCTTCACGGGAAGTGCTCCACTCTGAAAATTTCTCCCTGAAGCTGTACGTCTACTTACCCAACGAGGTGAGGGGTTACACACGAGTATGATTCTACAGGACATTGCAAGTTCCTGAGCTAAACATCACTTGTGCCTGGAAATGAGCTCACAGCTTCCTCTGCAGAAAATCTTTTGTGTTCCAAAAGCCTCATTGTGAATTTGTATCAACTTGCAGCTGTGATGTTTGCCTTTGTCCACAAAGACTATCTACTCGGATGAAGACGGTGACAAAAAGAAGCCAGGTGATCCCAAAGTTTGACAATGGCTTTTGCATTACAAACAGTGGCGGCTCCAGAATTTTTTTTCTGCAGGTGCTATGAAGGAGCTAGTCTTTTTATTGAGGGTGCTATGAAGGAAGTGGTCATGCGTACCTATTGTTCTCTAAAACACCTTCAACACTAGCAGATACACATGTGTGCACAAAACCTCAACAACACCTGAAACAATCATTAATATACATCATAAACATATGAACAATCGCTGACTTTTCCATGAAATCATAAACACATACAGCCACACAGAAAACCATCTATAGTGTTGCAAGGTTAGCTAACGTTAGTGTTAGCATTTCCAGCGGCTAAACCGACCACTGCTGCGGCGTTTGAAGGTTGACTCTCTTCATCCAGAGCCGTAGGTTTTTGTGGGTCTGGGATCACCTCGAAAGATTCATTCATTTCTGACTGAACCTGTGGAAATTTGGGCAACAAAAACCGATCCATTTTACCACTAGCTCTACCTTTCACTCATTCGCAGGTGGAAAATGAGGTCAAAGGTTAACATCAAATTCCTGTTTTGGTTTAAGTTTTTACTATCTATATGATAATTTACTGGTTATTTTTGTTTTGTATGTTAAATATAATCACATCCACACGTTAAATTAAAATTAAATTGTAAAAAAAAAAGTTAATATTTACTTGGGGGTGCTATGGGGGTGCAATGACTAATCCAGGGGTAGCTATAGCGACCCCTAGAGCCCCCCGGCGCTGCCACTGATTGCAAAGAGTCCAGAGAAGGTTCAGTTGTAGATGCAAATCTGATTATTACTTTCTAAGAGTTTCTTCAATAATTTATAAAGTGGTTTATGAACTATTTTGTTTACATAGTTGACGCCAACAGCTGATGGCAGTTTCAAGCAAGGATGTCTAGGTTGAGATTTGTGTTAGCAAAGACTCTACGGCCAAATTTTTACTCAACATATGCAACATTACCGTGGTCATAGCCTTTTTGTGTTGTCGAGGGACAGTGGCCATCTTTAACTGGCATGACTTCAAAGGTTAATCAGTTATTGGTTAAATTTGTTACTTTAAGGACGTTTCACCAAATTGGTTATTGGGGTCCATTGTGAAACAGACAAAAGTGGACACCAAAAGCATATGTCTGACTATAAGGTACAACATGTAAGAATTTGACAGGGAAATAGTCATAAAACAGTCTACTGTCTCAATCATGTTGGAAGGAAGTCAGTTGATTTCTGGGAGGTTGTCAGCTTTTATCCTTTCCAAAAAGCTAAAGAGGGACGTAGTCTTTGTTTACAATCTGTGAACCCGCACCGGGGTTGATGAGTCTACACCGCATTTGTAACTCAACACCAGTTGGCAAAACTCAGCAGTGTTTTGTGAAGAACCTAAGCCAGGAAACAGGAACGACTCGGTAGATACTTTTTATACGCTTGAGAACAAGAACAACATTTAAAATTGGGTAGAGAAAGCTAGAGGCTAATGTTGAGCTAACAATTCTAACGGTGAATTGGAAACAGAGTAGGCTCTAAATCTCACACTAATTTCCTGATATTACAGTGAAATGTATTTATTCGTCTTTGCTCATCATCTCTAGGACCTTATGGTGCCCATGAAACTCACTGAAAGGGAAGGAGTGAGGGAGTCACTCTTTACCTTACTTTCCACCAGACACAAAACGGTGGCTAATTATCGCAAAACATACTTTGCTGCCATTATATGGGACTGGTTCCTTTCTACTGAATGTGAAATGTTATGTTTTGGACACATCCCCAGAAGCATGAAGACGCTTTGCTTACGTTTTGAGTCTATTTTACATGCTACTCTAACAAACTCTTCAAACGTTTATTTTCTGCAGTTAAGATTGGGCCAGACAGGAAGTCAAACAAGAAAGCAGTGGAAAACATCCAGAAACCTTCAAAATAAAAGTCAAGCTTGCGGGTACAACCCCTATATCACATTACACACCACTTTCACACCAGAGGTTCGGGGAGCCGTCAAGCTGAAGGAGGAGGCCTACAGGGCGTGGCTGGTCTGTGGGTCTCCGGAGGCAGCAGCCAGGTACCGGATAGCCAAGTGCGGTGCAGCAGTGGCAGTTGCCGAGGCAAAAGCTTGGGCGTGGGAGGAGTTTGGTGAGGCCATGGAGAAAGACTATCGATCGGCTCCAAAGAGGTTCTGGCAAACTGTCCGGCACCTCAGGAGAGGGAGGCATCAACTCGCTCACATCTGTTTACAGTGGGGATGGGGAGCTGCTGACGTCAACTGGGGCTATAGTCGGACGGTGGAAGGAATACTTTGAGGAGCTCCTCAATCCCACCTATGCGTTTTCCGAGGAGGAACCAGAGCCAGGAGACCTGGGGATGGACTGTCCAATCTTGGGGGCAGAAGTTGCTGAGGTAGTCAAACAACTGCACAGTGGCGGAGCACCGGGGGCGGATGAGATTCGTCTTGGGTATCTCAAGGCTATGGATGTTGTAGGGCTGTCGTGGTCAGCCCGGTGAGGGCTGGACTCCGCCAGGGCTGCCCTTTGTCACCAGTTCTGTTCATTACCTTTATGGACAGAATTTCTAGGCGCAGCCGTGGTGTGGAGTGTGTCGAGTTTGGTGGCAGGAGAATCTCGTCTCTTCTTTTTGCGGATGATGTGGTCCTCCTAGCTTCATCCAGCTCTGACCTTCAGCTCTTGCTGGGTAGGTTCGCAGCCAAGTGTGAAGCAGCTGGGATGAGGATCAGCACCTCCGAATCTGAGACCATGGTTCTCGACCAGAAAAGGGTGGCTTGCCAACTCCGGGTCGGGGGAGAGGTCCTACCTCAAGTGGAGGAGTTTAAGTATCTTGGGGTCTTGTTCACGAGTGAGGGTAGGAGGGATCGGGAGATCGACGGGCGGATTGGTTCGGCGTCTGCAGTGATGTGGACGCTGAGCCGATCTGTCGTGGTGAAGAGGGAGCTGAGCCAGAAAGCCAGGCTCTCAATTTACCGGTCGATCTACGTCCCAATCCTCACCTATGGTCATGAGCTTTGGGTGATGACCAAAAGAACAAGATCGCGGATACAAGCGGCCGAAATGAGTTTCCTCCGTAGGGTGGCCGGGCTCAGCCTTAAGAGATAGGGTGAGGAGCTCGGACATTCGGGAGGGACTCGGAGTAGAACTGCTGCTCCTCTGGATCGAGAGGAGTCAGTTGAGGTGGTTTGGGCGTCTGGTCAGGACGCCTCTTGGACGCCTCCCTGGGAAGGTGTTTCGGGCATGTCCTGCTGGCAGGAGGCCCCCGGGTCGACCCAGGAAACATTGGAGAGGTTACATCTCCAATCTGGTCCGGGAACGCCTTGGGGTCCTGCCGGAGAAGCAGGCGGAGGTGGCCGGGGAGAGAACGGTCTGGAGCTCCTTAGTTGGGATGCTGCCCCCGCGACCCGGACCCGGATAAGCGGGGGAAGACGACGACCTCTTTCACGTCTGGTGGAAAGGAGAGGCAATTTTGCAAAATGGGCTGCAGTAACCAAATTTGGTCACAGGATGTCATTCTAACGTCATTATTAGAAAAAGCTCTTTTAATAGCAATGTTTACAATTAAGCTTTCATGCATTTTTATAGTTCAATAACTACTGAATCAACTGAGTTAAACACAACTTTATATTTGCTCACGTTGATAAACTATGACAGCCATTTTGAGTCAGACTGATTGCAAAGGTTAATCAGTTGTAAATATACATCCAATAATTACACACGCCCACATTGAAACAGACAGACAGAGAAAAAAAATTCAAATACACTGAGTCAACTGAATAAGACTAACCAAAATATCTTTCTGCATTCCTGGTTCCATCACTAAACTGCTAAAAAGGGTCAGCGGTTCTATTTTTAAATCCCGCCCTGTAATTTATTTTATGTCAACATGGCAATTTTATTCCTCCACGAAATCAAGGCTGCAGTAAGGTTTTTGCCTTTTCTAAACTCCAGTGTCCGACCACAACACCCTGAGCACCGCCAAGCCAACTGACAGTTTTGATCTGTCACGCCCTTCAAACATTTCCTCTCTACATGTCATATGAACAGATTTCACACCACTTTGTTTCTGCAGTTACTTTTACTGACCACTTACAGTAAGGTGGTGAAACATACACCCCTAAAATAGGATGTTTTTCTAAGTTTGTGTATGGTGTGAAAGTCTGGCTAAAGGGAACTAACAAATAAAAAGAGAGCAAATTAATGTGTTTTGTGTATTGATATGAGCATATATGTGAAACAATTTATTGTAAAAAAAGAAGGTAGCTTAATTAACATTTTCAGATAGAGTTACATGTTTCATTTACAAATTAACCGAAACATTTCACAATCTGTGACGTTTGACCATGCATCTGTCAGAGATTTACAGAAGACAAGCTGTGCACGTCTGCAACATCAGAACACAGAGAAGCATCAAACTGTACCTGACATCCAGATGTTCTGTCCACCATCCGAGAGGTGCAGAAGTGTCAAAGGGAACATAAGCCAGAACACAGTGAGTGGAATATAAAGAAAGTGATAGCTCTCCTTCAGAGAATTGGTCTCAACCACACATCTTCACTGTCATATCTGTTAGGCAATCTGTCCCTGCTGATGAAACTAAGACAGGCGGCAGTCTCGCAATATTAGCACGTTCTTATGAAGCAAGTCACTGGACGTGTCCTTCCATGAGAACAGAACCCATTCTGGAGGAGAAAGCGACAGTTTTCCATCAGACGTTTAACATGTGTGACAGAACGCTCCCTCGTTGGTTGTCTGTGACTTGTGTGAATGCATCCCCCCGTGCACGAGGTGCAAAAAGCTGCTCGTGCATGACGGGGTTTGTGTATGTGTGTAAGGAGGATGTGGAGGCGGTCCAGAGGGGCTTACTCATCATCCAGGGTGCTATCCAATCACTACCAGAGCCTCCCTCTGGCAGAACTATTTCTTCCACACATGGCAACTCTCTTTAACAGCTGCATCAAACGCATAAAACTGAGCTCTCACTTATCGAGTGCATTACTGCGAGCTGCAGCAGTTAACCCTCACTGACATGGTGTAATGTGAACCTGCCAGAACATTGAGAATCACTAACAACTGCACGCAGATGACATCACATAAGCCTAATTCCCTACAACGCTCTAATTACTCCATTCATTAGCAGTTAACACATGCCATGTTGAAGGTAAACAGGCTTACAGCTGGGCAAATACTTTGATTTCAGCCCAGGCTTCAGCTGCTAATGTTTGTGCGACATACCACTAACAGTTATAACCACCACCAGATCCATCTGTGTGCTAACACGGGACAAACTAACAAAACACCTGTAGTATGATTGTTGTTAACTACAGCAACATCATGAAAATCTTCAACAATGTCTCAACAGATAATGTCTTCACTCTTGGCTCATTTGTCAAAGTGATAAGCGATTTTCATGATATAGATGCAAAACAAATCTACAGCTGCCACACCTGTTCCTTCCTTCCTGGGGTGGTGCAGGCCAAAACTAAGGTTTTATTGCAATGCCATGATTGTGAAACTAAACCCTCCCATGCCCTGCAAACCTCACACGAATGAATCAGTCTAAGAGAAGAGGAAATCAATCTGATCTGCTGAAACGACTTATGACAACAAAATGTAATCTATCATAGGACGATGAGTAGATGTCACCAAATATATCAAATTAAATGTATACCAGCAGCTTCACTCCCTTCTATATCCAAAACAAAATAACGTACAGTTTGGGGGGAACTGACGTGATTTGACAGATTATAAAGCATCCTCCATGCCAAATGTCTCAAAGTGCACATGGCCTTAAATTCCCTGTCTTGCTCATTATTAGAGCTGGATTCTGTTTTACCAAAGAACAGCTAATATGTCCAAGTAACAGGAAAAGAAGAGCAAAGGTTCAGCTCCTAAAAGCATTTCTGATGTGCCACGGAGGATTGTTGAATCTGCATATTTAAACAAAATAGAAAATGTGAAGCTAAATTTATTCAATACACAAAATTAGTGCATAGCTTCTGCAAAAAGCTAACAGTATTCACTCTTAGCCCCCCAAAATTGTACTTTGTTAAAAAATATTCTCCCAGATCTGCCAATCAAATATGACACCTAGTGGTTGAAATGTTCAACTGCATACTGGTGATGACACAAATACAGATGAGTAATTAATTACAAATAGATTAGACAGTCACAGATTTGTTAAAACTTTAAGCGTTGGGTTCATTGAATTGCTTTAAACAAGAAATCATGAACTTTAGGAGCTAAAGGCAATTCCCTTAAAACTAATCAATTTCAAACCATTTGGTGTTTTATTTCAAGTGGTGCTCGCTGCAGAACCACAAAGGCGGAGCTGCACCAGAAGGTGGAGCTGCACCAGAGTCAGCCCCGCCCATTCCATCAGAGTCAGTCCAATTCCTTCCAGTTGTCAGACTTGATAGCATTCTGGAACCAAAGAGGGTGTTATAGCTAAAAAATGCAAGATTGAGGACGGAGGTGAGAAGTTAACTGAACAGTTTTTGTAAAGGTTCCATATAATTAAAAATCTAACTTTTGGAACTTTTAATCATGTTTTACTGTCATTTCCTCAAAAGAAACACGCCAAAGCCATTTTTGGCCTCATTCATGCATTTTCCTCCCATCTCAGCTTCAATTTGGTCTTTTCCCCCGAAGCGGGTCTGGTCTTGGTTCTCAAATCTGGATATTCTGTGAATTTTGGGACAAATTATTTCTGAAATGACTTCTACTGAGACACCGCAAACAAACCATACAACCCATCTCCAAAGACACACTGAGTAGCACAATTGCATAAAACGCCATTTGATTTTCATTCGATGTGGTGGTGTAGTGGTTATGGAGTGAGGTTGTTGTCATGCAGTTTTGCGCAGGTTCGCCTCCCAGTAACGGAAGCATTAGGTAGTTTACAATCCCATTTTTTCATTTCTAGCTACACTTGACAGTGCTATGTTTACAACAATTTACTGGTATACCGTTTAACATATGATGACTAATGTGTTTATTTATTTGGTTTTTTTAGCCAGTGTGAGTCCATTTGTGAGCAGAGTTTCAACTAAAATGCTGTTTAGGAACGACCAAATTCAAAGAACTTTTAGAGACATAAATATATGAACATAATTTGCTGAAAATAAACATTACAGCTAAAATATAAACAAATTAAATGCTTCAGTTGGATAAATAGATTGTTGCCTATCCCACCGAGAAT